GCGGCCCCACCTGGCTCCCGTGTTCGGCCTCTCTCTGCCCCCCAGCTTGTGGGGCTGGGTCCTGGGGTGGAATGTGGGCCCGGCTAATGGCCTCTGTGCTGCGGGGTCGGTGCTTTCCGGGGGGAGCATGGTGGGGCTGGCTCGGATCCCCAGGTTGTGGGGCTGGGCCAAGGGGCGAGCTGTTCCCTAGAAGTGGGGCCAGGCTGTGGCCCGGGTGGGCTCCTGTGTTACAGGACTGTGCCCCCCCCAGGCTGTGGGGCTGGGCCGTGGGGCTGGTGGTGCCCAGCCTGCCCGTCTGGCCCCGGTGGGGCTGGTAGCAGCTGATGCCGACGTCTCTGGTCCAGCCGTGGGGCACCCGCTGGGGCAGGGCTGGGTCCCCGGCGCCAGACTGGCGATGGGGCTGGTTGCCCCGGGGCCACCCTTCTCTGACTGCGGGCAGGAGCATGGTGCCGTGGGCTGCAGAGTCTGTCCAGCCCGGCCCAAGGCTGGGCAAGGGGCTCGCTGCCACTGGCTCTTGGCCCGCTGCCGGCGGTGCCCCGGTGCTGGGGCACCAAGTGTTGCACGGGCCTGTTTGCCCCGTTCACTCAGTGGTGTCCCAGGGGAGCAGGGCTGCTCGGGAACTGCAGCCCGAACTGGTGCTCTCCTAATGGCCGCGGAGCACTAAAAGCTCTCCTTGGCAGTAATTGCTCTCACCGTGCCAGGAGAGGCCCTGACCTCTGCCTACTTCAGATGCCACATCCCGCTTCCTTCGGCTGAGCCCGCCTGGCAGCTCCTGCCAGGCTGCCGGGAATGGAGCTGGGCTCTGCCAGGCCCCCACCACGGGCAGGGGCTGGGGTCTGGCCACGATGCTGCAGACCCCCTCTTTGAGCAGCACATGGCCCAGGTGAGCCATCACGGTGCCATGCGGGCTCTGCACGGAGGGACCCCGAGGGCACAGTGGGGTCCGGTCCCCCGAGGGGGACCCGGAGTGAGGCTGTGGACCTGGACCCCACCGTGCCACCTAGCCCTTCACTGGGGAGCAGGGCTGGGGCCTCATCACAGTGGGTGCTGGAGGCTCCTGGTGCCCCGGCGCTGCTTGGTGGTGTGGCTGGGCCCCTTCCAGCCCCACTAATGTCCCTTATCACTGCCATCGTGGCTGGGACGGGTCCCCGGCGCTGCCCTCCAGGCACGGCTCTTGTTTCTGCACCCCCAGGCAAGAGGTCCCGCCATTGCCCCGGGGCTTGCTCTCCACCCCGGTGTGGGGCAGCCATGGGGCACGGCTCTCATGTGTGCCCTGCTCCACATCTCCCCCCATTCCCACTGCCCCAGCCCCACTCCCCAACCCCTCCTGGCTGCTCAGCCCGGGCAGCCTCTCCCCCGCCGCCGGAGCTGGCTTAGTTTTGCTAATCCCCTAATCCTGCCGCCCGGCCGTATCCAGCGAGGGGGATGCAGCGTGACCCTGGGTGAGGGAGGCCCGTGCTGTGCCCCTGTGTGCTGGCTGTGGGGGGCTGGGAGCCCCCAGGGGGGGTGACACACCGGGTGGGAGGCTGGGGCAGGGCTCTGCCTGCCCAGGAATTTCCCGTCATCTGTGAAACAAAGCCGAAACCTCCGCCACTCCTGTGCTGCTCCCGGCATCCCCTGCCTGATCCGCCTCAGGAGGCTGGG